AAAAAAAAAAAGAAAAAGAAAAATCAGAGCTTAGTCTTCAAAAAACTGTACCTTTTGGTGTATTGTAGCCTCACTAAGTATCTAATTTCTGCCCTGTAATCTAACAGACTGGACCAAAAGAACTCACCAAAGAAAGCTTAGGCGTAAATTACAGGGCGCTCAGTGATTTGTTTCTTATCTCAGAGCAAAGAAAAGACAGCATGTGCTATGATGTTTCCGTTCAGATGATTGAAATTTACAATGAGCAAGTGAGGGACCTCCTCGTCACTGATGGTGTCAATAAAAAATATCCTTTGGGTTGTTGACAACTTTTTACCATTTATGCTATTTAGTTTTCATTTCATGGTTTTTGCCTTAACTCTGAAACACATTAGAAATCCGTAACAATTCCCCAGATGGCATCAATGTACCCCATGCAAATCTTGTACCAGTGTCATCAACATCTGAGGTCATCAGTTTGATGAACATTGGAAACAAGAATCGTGCAGTGGGTTCCACTGCTATGAATGACCGAAGCAGTCGTTCTCACAGGTAAGATAGTTACCCACTCTTTTGCTTGAGTTACGTAAATCTTTCATTTCCTTTCTTTTCTTTTTAATGTTTCCCCATTTGCCTAACTAAGTCTATCAGAGAAAGGTAACGCAATTTAAACGTAAAACCATTTTTCAGTTGGATGTGTGTTTGGATCCCTTTTCATTTTTACATAATTTAATGGATACAATTCTATATGCACAGTTGCCTGACCGTTCATGTTCAAGGAAGAGCTTTGACATCCAGTTCAACAATCCGTGGTTGCATGCACCTCGTCGACCTGGCGGGAAGTGAAAGAGCCGACAAGTCGGAGGCGGTTGGCGGTAGACTAAAGGAGGCTCAACATATTAATCGGTCCCTATCTGCCTTGGGAGATGTGATATCTGCTCTTGCGCAGAAGAGTACACATGTTCCTTACAGGAACAGTAAGCTCACCCAGTTGCTTCAAGATTCACTAGGTAATACACACACACGCACAGAGAGATGTATGTAGCTACGTTTTGTTCTTTCATCTAAGATATATGTTTTTCTCTTATCACAATCCCCTATGCCTACAGGTGGTCAAGCAAAGACTTTAATGTTCGTTCACATCAGCCCAGAGCCTGATGCTCTTAGCGAGACAATTAGTACACTTAAGTTTGCTGAACGTGTTTCAACTGTTGAGCTTGGTGCTGCCCGTGCCAACAAAGAGAGTCCGGATATCAAAGAACTGAAGGAACAGGTATCTATGACTTTTTTACCTGTAGATATGTTCTGGTTTATCATTTAAAAGAGGTTGAACATATTCAATATGCACTGCATACCAGGGTTTCCGTTAACATTTTCCTATTTTTGTTTTTGGGAGTAATGACTGTTGTTGGCCTATTACATGCAGATAGCCAACCTTAAAGCAGCTTTAACACAAAAAGAAAGAGGCGAATTAGGGTCTAAGCAATCTGGATGTATAAGCCCAGACAGAGTATTAATTAGATCCTTTGGGTCGTCTCCATCAGATTCGTCTTGGCAAAGTAATGGAGATGTCAGTAAGGTAGAGGTATGGAATGAACCAACAGCACACACACATGTACATACATAATACATTTACCAGACTTGTATTATTTTCTTTTCAGTCGTCAAAATCTTTTCAGCAAAGAAATTTTACCGACGTCTATATCCAATTATAATTGACTTGCTAGATTGAGATTGAAATTGTAACTTGTGTATTATTTTTATTATTATTATTGGTTTATGCATGTGCGCTCGGATCCAGAGACTAAGTCACTCTTCAGCAACATCAAGAATGCAAAGTGACTCGTTTGACTCCCCTCCATGGCCAGCTCTCAGTAGTCCGGAGTTGATTAACAAAGAAGAAAAATGCATCCCCAGCGACTGGGTCGACAATGTTATGTCCTATGATGACAAGAACGCTCAACATTCTCCAAACATGGTGAATGGGACCCAAAATGAGACAGCTGTCGCTGATGATATTGATGACCTCGAAAATGCAACCAGTGACACTTCAGAGCTGGATTACCAGTGGCCACTAGGTCTTTCTAAACCCAACCGTGTGCCTAATGGGCTGGGATCAAAACCCAGGAAGCCCAGTCCAAAACAGATTAATTCTCCAGAAAGAAGGTAACTAAAGAATAGTTGTTAACTCATTGCATTATATATTGTCCACTTACCTTATAGCTTAAATTCTCATGCCATTTTTTGTTTGGAGCTTGCAAGAATCTGATACCCAGTGGACTTTCTGCTTACATTTCAAAACTTACTGCAAGTGAAGTTGCAGTAGTGCATGCACATGATTTTTTACGCTTGGTGTCGTGTGAGGAAAAATCTTTAACCGTTTAACGTGTGCAAACTTTATTTTCATCATTTAGGAGCCTGATACCTCCACCGCCAAGTAGGAGAATTTCCAATGGGGCTCGTTCGCCACTGCCAAAACACGGATGGCAGGCAGCTCCTGTTGATGGAAAACGCAAACCGACGGCGGTGGGAAGTAAGAGCTTGCTTCATTAATGTGGGAAAATCTTATACGTACACCAGAGTAAATTCTTGCCTAGGGTGACGCAGTTTTGATTTTGAAATTTTTTTTTTTTTTTTTTTTTTTATTATATCAATTGGTGAAATTTTTTTAGGCAGTATATACCAAAGAAATAGGCAATAGTTTTGGTCACCGTGTTCCCTTATTCTTTGTTTTCTTCCCCTCCAAAATGCAGCGAGGACTTCAGGTCTTCTGTATATTTGAGAATGATGTGGTGTTCATAATGAGTTTCAGTATTTTTTTTATTTAATTATTTTTTAAGCCACACTTTCTTGTAATTTTGGCACTGTACAAAAAAAGGACAGAAAATACGAAATAGTAAAGTTTACCCCCATTTCCTGTTGATGAACACATTCTTTGTTGCATCTCTTGAAAATAGAGCCATTCAACTTTGCGGTCTCTCGCCTTGCACGGGAGCGGCTATCACTGGGATGAAAGGAATAGAGAGTGATTGTTTATGGATTCAACTAGTTTTTATTTGGTTTGTTTTTAACTATAGTTAATTTTTTTAAAATGTGGTATGATTAGTTGTTAGTGAATATATTAAAATGAAAATAATATTTAAATAAAATAATTAAAGTTGATTTAATGTAAAGTAAGAGAAAAATGATTGAAAGTGATGGTTAGTTAAAATTATGTGAGCAGACCAACGGATTAGTCGGGGCATAGCTCTGGATACCGTGGTTGGCTATAAAAAAAAATTATGTGAGTAGATGAATAGTGAATTAAAGTTGATGTGATGCGTAAAAATTATTGGTTGATATTATTTAATTATGTTGATAATATTATAGATAGTGGGGTTGGGTTAAAGTTGAGGTAAATTTGAGTTTTGATTGATTTTTTTACTGTTCAAACTATATCCAATCGCCCCCTTAGTAGCTGATGTAGTGGTCTGTTGAGAACTTGAATACCTTTGGTTTCCTTCGGTTGTCATCTTATGAACTCACAAAAATTTCGTCTTAAGATTGTAGTTTGTGTGGTTTGTGAATATATAAAAGGTGACTTAAGGATTAAGGAGAATGAAGAAAATGAAATAAAAATCAAAGTCGAAGCACGTAATAATTACGTCTCCTTAAGACAAAATTGCCTCGTAAAATATTCACGGTTATCGGCAAACGCCTTCAAGATACAACGACTTTCGACTAGTATAAAACGGTACTTCAAATATACAAGTCTTCGGCGAACAATACTATTGTTTGGAACTCTCAACACTCAATGAAAAAAAATCAAAGATCTTTGAAAAGTAATGTAAGAGCTCTCTAATTTTCACGTTATGAATGGTTTCATGTATGTGGGTATTTATAGATATAGGAAAAAACACCTCCAAGGGGTTTAAGTGTCAAAAGACACCTTTTTGCAAGAGCTCTTCGGCGAACAATACTATTGTTTTGAACTCTCAACACTCAATGAAAAAAATCAAAGATCTTTGAAAAGTAATGCAAGAGGTCTTTAATTTTCACGTTATGAATGGTTTCATGTATGTAGGTATTTATAGATATAGGAAAACACCTCTAAAGGGTTTAAGTGTCAAAAGACACCTTTTGGGACGTACCGAATGGGAATGAACGCATCTCAAGGCCAAAAGACACCTTATAGTCACCAAAGGTTGTAACCTCTCGTTGTCCGCAGCCAACTATGCTCCCGTGCGCCACGGGCTCGTACAAGCTCATCCGGACTCGGAATGGAGTTCCGTTTTTTCCTACTCGTCCTCAATGAACCTTTCTAAATTTATAGCATGCAAGATGCATGATCATGTCTCGTTTGGATTATCATAATATTCATCAATGACATAATATTTTACGCATCCAATAACTTGAGTTACTTAAACTCATTACTTCGACCTTACATTTCCCACATACACAACTTAGAATTAATTTTTCATTCACCTTAAAATGGTTTTGAGAATTTCCTAAGTCTTCCACTTACAAAAAATAGAACCGTTAAATTGGTACAAAACCAGTTTTTCTTACAATCGCCACCTCTTTAAACTCAAACCCTTCAATAACCAGCCAAATCCCTCGAACTCCGACCCCAACAATCCGAGACTGGTAACTGAATCCCATTGTTGTAATCGGAAATTTGCACCCTTATAGCTCTGTTCGCTAGAAACCGCTTCTTGCCGATGGTTGACGAGCCACAAATGGGAGCCGCGATTCTTCACCAGATCTGCGTTCTTTTATGTGGCTTGATATGGCCCGTCCAAATTTTGAAAAAACTAAAAATGTGTGCAGAAATAAAAGGGAAAACCTATTTGCAGATGATGGCTGGAAGGGAACCCCAATTTGCAGCTGGAAAATCATTTAGATTTTGAAAAGATTTGAGAGGTTAGTGCATTGCACTGCCTTATTTATTTGGCAAACCGATATTTTTTCAGATGCAAAATTGCCCTCTTTGACTAGGTAAATTCCAAACCTCAGGATTCTTGGATGTGGAAAAGTCTCCTTGGTGTTAGAAAGTTTCTGGAGCTGGGGGTTAGGTTTAGAGTGGGTGATGGGGCTAGTATTTCTATTTGGGATTCTCCATGGATTCCTACTAATCCTCCTTTTAAACCTGTTTGCCAGTTTTCTGATGACAGGCATAGATTAGTTAAGGTTAGGGATTTGTTGAGAGAGGGTAGTAGAGAGTGGGATAGAGATCTTATCTTTCAAACTTTTGAGCCTGAGATTGCAGAGATTATTTCTAGAATCCCATTGTCTATTGCTGGTGGTCCTGATAGACTTATTTGACACTGGCATCCAAAGGGAGAATTTTCAGTCAAAGAAGTTTATAAGGCAATTATGCAAAGAAAAAGTAAGGAGCATGAGTGGGCAAGTTCAAGCAGAGATCCATTGCTTATGGTTAAGATGTGGAAAATAACTTGGAAGTTGAACATCAAGTCCAAAATTAAAAACTTCTTGTGGAGGTGTTGGTTTGGGTATTTGAGCTCAAATGATCAACTTTTGAGGAAAGGTATGGATATTGACTCAATTTGTGCTGTTTGTGGAGAAGAAGAGGAGGATTTAAATCATATCTTATTTAATTGTCAAAGAGCCAAAAATTGTTGCAAGCTGAGTGGTGTTAACTGTTATATTCAGCCTGAATGAGGTGGGGTGTTTCAGAATTGGTGGTTTCAGATCTGTGGTGCTAAACATTTGAAAGGTAAAGATGATAGGTTGGGACTGTCAGCTTGTTTGCTATGGAATCTCTGGAAGGCTAGGAACAAGTGGTTGTATAAGGGGAACTGGATACATGATAATATAATTGTGGAGGGTGCCAAGGCTGAGTGGTTGGATTGGACAGCATCTCATTCTGACAGGGCTAGGAGCAATGAAGATCATTCACAAGATCAAACCCCTCAAGATAGTTTTTCCAGGGAGGTAGGTCAGTCATTTATGACTCTCAGTGCCTCAATATCTTTGGGTGGTGAAGTTTAAGTGGAGTGTGTCATGACTCAGATGGGAGCTGTGCATGTTCAATGGCAAGAGACCTTACCAGGAGCTCAGCAGGAGGAGGAAGGGTGGTTTATGGCCATTGCTTTGTGTTTGAGCAAAGCCAAGGACATCAATTTCAGCAATTTTACACTCTATCTTCCCTCTACTGACCTTGTGGAGGATATTGCCAAGAGTCTGAGCAAGGAGGTGCTTCATCCTCATGTAGCTGGGATTAAAGATTTGATGGCTGGTTGTAATGTTAATGTTAGTACTATTTTCTAAGTTCTTTTCTTTGTTTTTATTTTCAGACTTTGTGGCTTGGCTGCCAGTTTAGGGGTAAGTTATTTCTTATCTCGAGCCTATTGTTTCTGCCTTGTGTAGTGCTGGTGTGGTTTGTGATCATTTGGTCACGTGAACTTTGATTTGAGTTTTAATGAATGGTTTTAATTGTCGTTTGAAAAAAAAAAAAAAAAAAAAAGACTAGAGTAAATTAATTTAATGATTTATGATAAATTTATATTATTTATTATTTATTTTAAATTAAAAAAAAAAAGAGAAATATTTCTTTTAGAAATGCTTGAATTGTAATAGTTTGAGAAAGCATGGCAAACCAATTTAATAATAAAAGACTTGTCAGTTTTCTTTAACACCTAGCCCAATTAGGGTATAATAAATTAGTTTTTTGTAACACGTATCACATATTGAGAAAACTTTCTATTTATAGTAAATGTATTGCCCAATTATATAATAGATAGATTATATTTAGGGAAGATGCTACGATCCCGTTATAGAACCATTCTGTTGGAGTTTGTAATCGTTAAATCAACTATGTCTGAGGATTATAAGATGATCTAACGGTTACAAACTCTGACGGAATGACTCCGTAACGGGACCAATAGCATTTCCCTATATTTAGTCATTCTATTGCTAATAAAAATGAAATGACAATAAAATGGAATGATAGTACTAACATGTCTATGGAAAATAGCAAATAAATTGAAATCGATAAGACAAGAGTGAACTAAACAGAAAAATATACAAAGCAAGTCTGCTAGTTATAATATTTCAGACCATGGTGAAACTACAATTTAACCAAAGAGCTCAATATAATATGAAATACTTTGACCCTCTTCTTTAAACCCATGCCCTAAGCCATACTAGTGCAAAATGCTCTACCAGAAATCCATCACAATAATCCCTCACCTGCATGCAGTAGGTCGAAATTCAAAACCGTTTAAAAGAAAAATAACTAACGGTTCACAGCGAAAGGAAAGCATTTTGGATATATGCACGCTTATACTTCAAACGCCATATTGTCATTCGTGCTGTTTATTAAAATATAAAATTTTACGATGCAAGAATGCATTTTTATCGAAAAGTAACAAAAACCCTGAATTAATATAATTTAGGAAAGTGAACAAGCATCACCCACGTATAGAAAACTTACGTAGCTCGTCAATGGAGAAATTGCTCATACTTTCACCCGACTTGATAAGCCGAACCCTTCCTGCAGAAGCATTGCATTGGACCACAATGAGATTAAACAATGAAAATGGGCAAAAAATTGCAAAACAAACTTGCAACCTCAAAAGAATCCGTGCTTAGACAAAATGATTCACTGCAGTAAAACCTAAACAACCATCTTTTCATATTTTGGTAATAATCTGTTTGTACGAGATTCCATCAGAAAGTGGAACTAGATTCGTGGATCATAGTCCTCAAGCAATTGAACTTTAAGTAGGTCGCAGAGCAAAATAATAGTAGAGTGTTAGGTTTTTTCACATGAATTCAGGAGAAGTATATAAAGAGATTCCTTTTCTATTTCCTGGGTTTTGTGTATTCAATACAACCGTCTTCTTCATTTAAAATTCTCAAGATGATATAATAGTGCATAGAAGTACTAACAAGATTACAAGAATTTTTTTTAAAAAAGAGGTAAAGTACAAGAATTTTAGAACCAGGGAATGCTACACTACCCTGTAGGAAAACTTTATGGTTTAAAAACTATTTATTTTTTATTTTGTATTAAATTCTTTGATAAATTTTATGGGGTGAAATTCATTCAACAGCCCCATTTTTCCACAGATATATGCTTCTGGACGACTATTCAAATAACGGAATACGCTTAATCAGAAAACTGCTAAGTGATAAGGGTCCCTCTAGTCAATTAAAAAAAATATATCAGCCCTAGAAAAAAATATTGACCAGAAGTCAAACTAGATATAGAAAGCATAGAACCTTTACTGCAAAACTTTATCAAGTACAATATACCCTAAAGTTATAATAAAATGTATCAATAGGAATAATGTCATATTTTGCCAAGTCCCCATACCAAGGACATGAAGAACATACTTAATATAATGATCTCCAAATACATGATGGAACCTGCAGCTATACCGTTGTTGTATAGACCATCGAGTATCTCGTGAGAGCGGTTATTAATTGCCGCAGTATGATATACTATTAAACAAACAATTCTACAACTTCACCTGGGCCTTTCAAACATTAGCTATCTATATATTCAACCGCACATGTAGTTTACCTTGCAAAAAAACTCTGTTTGCCTACTGGATGAGAAATAAATTTTGATTGCCAAGGTTACGTCAATTTCAAATCTGCATATTTCATTCATACATCCACCAACATCTAGAAATCCAAGACTTCTAGTATTAAAATTACACAACACAGATCAGTTTCTGAAATTGCACAGTTGATCAAACAACATTTTTAATTTTCAACTGCCCAGTCTTTTGTAATATTACTGACCACCAACATTTTTAAACCAAAAGTGCATTTTATATGCTCGCAAGAATTCACATTAGTCCCACTGATAACATTATAGTAACAATATGCATATCATATTATCCTTCATTCTTGTTTCAGTTACAATTTCATATCATTATTTTTACTTGGAGCCCTAACCTAATCCCACTAAATTTAAAAGTTATTAACAGAGTTAATTTTTATTCTTTACAGGTTCCACTAAGATATCTAATACTCTTAAGTTCTCATGGCTAAAACTTAAAACTTCTTCGGTAGTACTGAAGAAACTGAAGCATACACATGATTTTGGAATAATTAAATAAATGAGTACATAGACTTTTAGAAATGTTAAATAAATTGCTTCTAGCACAAAATAGAATTGCTTGAATTTTATTATCTAACCAGTTCCCAATGACAAATCAAAGATGTAATTATGAATGATTTGTTGTTATTTCGTAATCTGCATGGAATCACACACTTAAGGTAATATCAGCTGATATCTGGAAAAAACTGCAGAAGATGTAAGAACATAACAAATGAACAACACCAATAATCCATTCAGCAGCAGTACATTTTCATCTTGTTTGTGTAAACACTTAGATGCTGTCGAACTTAAATAAACAGAAACATAATTATCAACAAGAACTAACAACAATTATCAACAAGAACTAACAGAAACACCAAACACGTAAGGCATATAACACACCAGACACGTATAGGAATAAAATATTAATTTTGCATACCATCACGACGCACGCAAATCTCGGGTATGCTTTTTATTTCTCCATTAATGCTGTCATTATAGACTCTTATCTCAATGTCTCCCTCAACATAAACTGATGAGCTGAAAAAAAGCTTCATGTTACGAGACAGAGCTTCAAATAATAGAAAAATCTCAATAACTTTCAATAATCAAATCAATCCTACTTTTTCACAAGCTGCTGAACGGCATATGCTCCAAGCATAGGGTTATGAACCGCGATCCGATGCCACTGAGCCGGTTTTGGCAAGTCAATTGAACCCAAAGTCCTCTGATCAGACATTCCTCCAGTCCCTACTGTAAATGTCGTCACGGTTTTCCCATTTCTCAAGATCTTCTGAACAGGGGCTTGACCAACTCTTCCACATAAAATAGCCTGGACAAAAGATAGAAACAAAAAAATGTGAAAAAAATTAACAAAAATTATGAGTGGATATTATGAAAGGAACCAAAAGTAAAAAAACAAGAGTTCAAACATAGCCGATATAAATAACATTGAAACAATAACCATAAAAAAAGAAAAGAATTTACATTTGACCCGACAAGCAAAGAATTATAAGCATTGATACATGATAAAATCCAAATTCTACAATACTGGATGTGTCCAAACGTGAATTTACAGGATAATTTTCCAACTCTGTCATAAAGCCCCCCAGCAGGTAGCAATAGCATGCACTGCTCAAGTATTCGTATCACCAGTCGCCACCCACAAACAAAATTTGGATCACAACAAGACAGCCACAACAAGAACTGATATCTCAAACCATAGTGACCGATGAATAATAGTTACATAAAAATGGAAATTTTATGGCAATAAAGTATCTTTTCAAATTTCGCCAAGGAAGAGAATCGCATACCCTGTGTACACCACGAAAGTTCCAGCCCTTTCTGGGGTCGACTCCTTGGAGTTGTAACTCAGGCTTCTCAGGAAGAAAATCATCATCATCAAGTTCCAGATGAGGCCCAGTTCCCACATGGTCATTGTCATCGCCCGAGATTGATGAACCAGTCGAGAAAAAGACCTTTGAGGTCCTTTGAAGACCCATCACTTTAAAGTTTCATATCAGATAAAATACACACACACACACACACACATACTACATACAAAATCTATAATATATACGAAATTGAAAAGATTAAATTTTTCCAGTTGAATATTAAAGAAGAAAAACAGAAGTAAAACCCCTTTAGCAGTTAGAAGCGATGCCCGTCAAGAATCACTAAAATTCCCCTAAAACAGACGAAAAAAATATAGCTCTACAGACTAATAGAAATGCACAAGCCCTGTTGAAAAAGGACATTTGGATCTACCTAGCAAACCCGTTAAACAAAAAAGAGCTCTGGTTGAATCATAAAAGATGAAAATGGCGAATCGGATATGAAAGGGTAGACAGGCTTACTGGTGCAGGGCGTGGATGCAGAGCGCAGTCGAAGGAGTTTGCAGAGTTTAGGAGCGACGGAACCCATCCTGCTGGAAAAATGATAGAAAGATGGACTGAAGATGCGACGAGGGCTTAGAAGGGAGGCCGTCACTCAGAACTGAGGAGGGTTTAAGAAAACAGCTGCAAATTATCGCAGACAAATGCTCAAAAAAGCCACACATTTTATTGGGTAATTGTTATTTTAGTACTGGTACTATGGGCTAATTGTGATTTTGGTACCTATCCTTTATTTATTGCGAAAATACAACTCAACTTTTACGTTTTTTGCAAATTTGGTATCTATTCTTTTTTAATGGCTAAAATACAACCCAACCTTTACGTTTTTTGCGAATTTAGTACCTAATAATTTTCTGTACCTAATAATACAAATAAAATATCTTTATTTTGATTTTTTGATGTAAATCATAAAATTATTATTTGTATTATAATGAATGATACAAATAAAATATTATATAAATCATAAAATTAAAAATAAAAATAAGATAAATTATAATAAAATATTATAAAATAAAAATATAGTTAATACAAGTCTCGCACCCTGCCCGGTTGGAATTCGCCTTGAGCTTGCTCTTCTCGCCGGTTGAACGCGGAACCTGCACGAAACTCCCACACCGGAGGTGTTTTCCGGTGAAGAGCCTCCAACGCTCAAGTCAGATATTGAGAGATGATATCAGTGTATAGAGAAATGTAAGAGTGTGTAAGATCGTATTGAAAATGAGGATTCTCGCCCCTATTTATAAGGGCGAGTTACTTGAGTTGCACGCGCGAGCCAGGTGCGTTCGGCCAATTGTCCTCTGCTCGTCCGTACGATCGCGCGCCTCCACTATCCTCAGTGTCAGAAAACGCGTCACCTTTGTCAGAGAATGTCAGAGTCGGTTACGGCTGTTGACCACTCACAATGCGCCGCGTGTCCTCCTCCTTATGTGTTGGAGATTCCTTTATGTGCTCCGATGCTCTACCAGTTATGTACGTCTGTGTCTCCTCGATCGTCCTCCCTCGACCATATCCTCAGATGACTTGTATCTGTCGACCACCTCTGCTCTCCTTAACTGTCGTTATCTGCTCGATGTTCTAGCGGCCGGTGTCTGGTCCTACTCAACCATGCCATTCGATCTTATTCCCACTAGGTAGTCCAGCAAACCGATCGGTCTTCTTTGATTAGCCCTATAAACCGGTCCAGTATATAATATCCCATATCAATAGTGAAAGGCAATAAAATGATTTAAAGTAATTTTTAATAAATTAAAAAATTAAAATATATGTACTTTTAATAAAAATAACGTGTAAGAAATAAAAATTAACAAGTAAAAATATATATAAATAAAATAAAATTACATTAAATCAAATTGAATTTTGTTAAAATGATATAAAATAAATTTTTTCTTTTATAATTTATTTGAAAAGTAATACTTTTTTAAAATATTTTTTTTTAATAATTATATATGGTTTTTTACAGAATCTCTAAATGTAATTTTAATAATATTGAAAATGCAGTTCATTTACCTAATATTAAAAAAATTGTATGTATCTTCATTTCTTCAGGAATTTTGTTGTTAAGGTAAATACAAAAAAGAGAAATATTTTTTCTTTTGAATTTTCATAGGAGATACTATGATTTTTTAAATCATTGTTGCATTTCATTGATATTTAAATATGCCCATTCAATTTAAATATGGTTATTAATAATTATATATGGTTTTTTACAGAATCTCTAAATGTAATTTTCATAATATTGAAAATACAGTTCATTTTATTTGTATCATTCATTATAATACAAATAACAATTTTATGATTTACATCAAAAAAACCAAAATAAAGATATTTTATTTGTATTATCAGGTACAAAAAAATTATTAGGTACTAAATTCGTAAAATATGTAAAGGTTGGGTTGTATTTTAGCCATTAATAAAGAATAGGAACCAAATTCGCAAAAAACGTAAAGGTTGGGTTGTATTTTCGCAATAAATAAAGGATAGGTACCAAAATCACAATTAGCCCATAGTACAGGTACTAAAATCACAATTACCCTTTTATATTTACAAGGTTAAATAAATGATTTTTTTTTCCATCCAAACATTATATTAAAAAAAAGTATTTATTCATTGATATATGAAAAAATAACAATTTGAGTTATTCATGTTCACCGTATAATACTTGGTTATTATTTTATTGTAAAATTTATTGTTATATAATATCACTGTTATTATTTATGAAATTTATAGAAGTCGTTTTTTTCTTCCTAATTTATGTAATGAAATTTAAAATAAAATTTTGTGTATACATGTTTACAAAATACGTACAAATGTTTTTTGGAATTTAATTTTCTTGTAATAATTAAAATAAAATTGATTTAACAATTGCCAAAAGATAAATCGAGATTTTTCTAATTTTCAGTCTATTCTACAATAAAATCATTATGGGAACAAACGAAAAAAGAAATCATCATAATAATAATAGAAAAGTTATCATGGTTGACAATAATATACAAATAAACCACATGTTGAAATTTTAAAAAATGATTAATATATTTTAGTTTTTATTATCTAGCCACTAGTAAAATTATTTAATGATGTGATTATTATCTCTCACATCTAGATTAGATCAAGATCTTATGTCCCTTTATGCCATGTTCTTATGTTTCTTCAAGACACTATATAAACCCTTTTCCTTCATCAATTTTAGACACAAAATCAAAAATTTCTTTTACTCTCTTAAGCCTCAAAATACTGCCCATTAAGCCTTAGACTAGCCTTCACGCAAGACGTCGACGAGGCCGCACGCATCCCTTCGATAGTGTTCGAACCGTGTCCAAGAGTTACCAAGCCAACCTTGTCTAATATCCTTCTTTCTTTAGCGTATAGATTCTTGAAGGAGATTCCGTCGAGCCATCGAGCTTCCACAAAAGCATCAATTTTTTCTCAGCTTACGAGTATCAGGTGGGGAAGTCTATGCTTTGACCATATTCCCTATAATTTTTGTGGTTATTTTTTATTAATGTGTGTTTCACAAATGCTCCCGCCTATTAAACGGCGATGAGATAAGAATGCTTCCGCCAATGAGAAGGCAATGAGATAAGATAAAATAAGAATGCTTCCATCTATTAGACGACAATGAATGTTATATATTTTTGCCTATGAGACGGCGATGAATATTATATGTTTTCCGCCTATCATATGGCGATGAATTAGTTAAGCTTCCGCCTATAAGATGGCGATGAGCTATTATTTGTGATACATGCCGCGACCAAGGTAATCCGTTTATTATATCGAATATCTCCATTGTATAGGCTAAAGGTGAACACGTAGTTTTTGCTCATCCCCCACAGTTTATCATTTTCAGGTTGAACAGATGGACAACCGAAACTGGAAGCAAGCGTGGTAGTCATTATGGACTTTTATTATTATTATCTTTAAAACATTTGCAAACATTTTTATTTATATAAACTTGAGTATTTGAGACTGGATTGATTTGCATTTGTTTGAAACTATGAGATTTTTAATTTAAGACTATGCATTATATATAAGAGTACCTTGCTTGTCTTAAATTGTTTTGGGAGTTAGTTCCCTTAGAATCCAGAGGTCAGAGGTTCGATCCTGACTATCGTAAGAGTAGGCGATGGAGCACTCATACTCTCCTAGGTGGATTAGTCTCGCCTCTCTGGATGTGGAGCCCGTTAATGGCCATAAAGCGGTTGTTAGGCAGCACCAACACGGTGAGCTCAAAGTGGCTTGGGTGTACGTGATGAAACATCGGATGAATATGGGGATACCACACATTCAAGAAAAAAAAAAAAGGACAAATGGGGCCCATTATTAATGGATGCATTACATCCATAATATCCTAGTCACATCCTTGTGGCCCTTGTGGGTTGCCGCAAGAGCCCGCATTCCGCCAAATTATCATTCACACCTAAACCACTCGAATTTTACACGAACATCACAATGTGGACGGCGCTACAACTTCATTCACCAACATCTTGGCCTCCTAACACCGTCACCACCACCGCCGGAACGCCTCAACGACGACAACAACTTCATCCACCAAAATCCTGTCCTCCTAACACCATCTCCACCACCGCCGGAACGCCTCAACGACGTCACCCCACGCTCTCCGTGGGAAAACCGGGCAGCGGCCGAACTTTTTCACGCGCAGTTATCGTCAAAGCCCTAAAGTCCGACGAGCCGAAGCTGCTTGTAAAGGCCCCCAAATCGGATGCGATGACGATACCGAGCGGCGCGGACGTACTGAGAGCACTGGAGATGGCCGCGGCTGAAAGAGCTAAGAGAAAGAAGGAGAAGAAGAGGGAAGCAGGGGTCATTTCGAGAAAAAAAGAAAATCAAGGGACTCCTCGCAATTTAGATGCCGTCAGGCCTCTCTCTGTGAAATCCGAATGGGACGATCGATTGGAGGAATTAGAAAGGAGGCTCGAACAGCTTGCGAGTGGGTAAAATTGTTTCCAGGATTTTGCCTTTCTTTTGTTTTTAATTATTGATTTATAGTATTGTGGGAGTGGATTTGGTGTTGCCTTGTGGTGATATGGGACTGTATATGCTGTGCCATTGTTGTGTTCGAGAAAGATGAATAACCCTCCTGTTTAAATGGCCTAGTGCTGTAAACGAGCACTTTAAGCTCGAGCTCGAACTCTTAACGAGCCAAAAATCGAGCTCGAGCCTTGACGAGGCTATCTCGAACTTTAACAGCCAAACTATAAAAAATTATATAAATATTCTCTTTTCGAGTTCGATCGTTAACCAAACGAGCTTTAAATGAGCTCGAGCTCGGCTCGTTAAGGCCTCGAACTCGAGCCGAACTCGAGCGTAACTGAGCCAGACTCGTTTAATTTAACAACACTTAAACGGCCGATGCAGGTGCCCTCATCGATGCCTTGTTAATGTAGGATACAGATACACTGTTAGATTCTTTATGACTAACAGAGAGTAACAGACGTGAAAATTGACAAAATGTTATGTTAAAGAAGGTATATATAAGCAACAAATACCAAGAAGTAATCTTTGCAGTACAAGTCTGGTCCCCAATCTCTCTTGAGGTGCACTAAGCCACTACTCACCACTTAATGCTTGATTTATTTCCCATGTAAAAAATATCATGTGGTAAAAGCCTCCTGATTTTTGCCCTTATAATCAAGATTTATGGCTAAACTAAACTTATGTTAGCCAGCCACAAAAAGAAACCAGGGGATTTCTAAAAAGAGGAGGGCAACACCAAAAAAGGGAAACAAAAGTTCTATAACTAATTTACCCAAAGTGTAGGCCATCTCCAACTATTCCTCACAGTGTACTCTCGCTGCAAGATTCATAGTGTCAACAAGATGGTGCCCGAAAAGAACCACAGCAATCAGAACCTAAGCCGTGCAGATTGGAATCAGCTGAAAAATAGGCCAAATTTACTAGGAAATAAGATTTGTGCTATCATCTGTAGTGTTTGTACACGAGGTACGAAAAAATGGAGGAGGCGGGTCTCGAAGGAGCATCAAGATTTTCCACTGAACAAGACTCGCCCATATAGTGACCGAATTCGTGCAATGGATGTCGCAAATGCCAAGAAACGAAGCATGACCTTGTTACCGAGTCTCTCGGAGATTTTCACCAAGGTCAAGAAAGTAAAAACTAGCGAAATTAACACAATTTTTGAGAACAGAGTCGACGTGTGTGAGGGAGACACAAGAGGAGTGGAAGGAGCCAAGTTCGACATGGAGCTTTGCAAGAAGAGGATACTAATGGGAGAAAAGTGCAGGCCGTTGAACGAGTCGGGTGTCCTTCACTATGATAAACAAGGCCTTCTCTTACCTGAAGATATATGTTCCTCCAGGTCATGAAAGAATAAATATTCAATTCTATTCAAGTTTTCTAGGTAGTAAGTATGTTCAGTGAAGAAGAATGAAGAATCAATGACTTCTTGTTATGTTCTCGAAATAATGGGAGTTTTTTTTCAAACTTGATCTGAGATTTACTGTCATTTGGTGATTTATCATACAATAAGTAGATTGCTCCATAAATTCCCCAGCAATTTCAACTCAGATGTGTAGCTATCCAATTGTAACACCATTTTCAATATACAGCCAGAAATCAATGCATTTTACTAACCCACAACACCATCAGGGTGTATTTAAATTACCCACAATCGCTTTGCAACAAGGATTCTACTCTCGAGTCGACTGAACATAAAAAGACCAAAAAATTAAGGCAAAAAGCCACCGGAGCAAACTGGTACAACTTCAATTTACACAAAATGCTAGTGTTTCTTCTGACATGAAAAAGAGGGGGAAAACAATAAAGGACATATCAATGTTTCAGTAGAAGCCTGGGTGATCCTAGGACATATCAATGCTTCATTTGAGAATATATATCCTCCATAAAATTCAGTGTTAGGTCACATATATCCGATATTCATGCACACACATTAACCAAGTAAGATGGTACAAATAACATCGGATTGCATTAACCCCTGAGAGGTTTAAGCCCGAGACTAGCACGGAGCCTGTTTGCTTCAGCAATCTCAGGATCGGGATGATCCGTCCCATCATCTTTCTTCCCCTTTTTCTCTTTCTTCTGCTTGGGCTCCTCAGCACGCCTTTTAGGACTCACACTGGCAAGGTGCCTTCTTCCTTCACGATTTCGATCCCTACTTCGGCTTCTGCTCCTTGAGAGGCTCCTCCTCCTGTCCCGCCGGTCTCTCTCCCGTCTGTCCCTATATTCCTTCTCATCTCTCGTCAGCCGGTGCCGATCTCTCTCTCTGTCCCGCCCTCTCCCGCGATCCCTGTCATACTCTCTGTCATAGTCCCTATCCCTGTCGTACTCTCTGCCATAGTCTCGATCCCTGAAGATACAAAGTAAAACAAGCATTCAAAAACTAGAAAAAAATGTTTTGACTTGAACGAATCTCTAATCCAATACAGACGGGGGAATGAAGCAGGGGAAAAGAAAGGGAACAGAGAAAAAGATTCCCAATGTTAACGCTACAATTGTGTGATCCATCATACTTCTCAGCTGCACACTGCCAGTGCAGAGAAACCTGGCAGGATCACGGTATGTTTTAATCTAGGATACGCTGTTATTTAGCCACTCAGGGCTTGAGATGCCATGATGGTGAGGCAATCACAACACGAGTATGTGACACTTGTGTGAGTGTATGTTTCAAAAAACAGCATCCAGTTCACCCTACCAACAGGACGGAGTAAAAGATACTTGAGGGCTAAAACAAACTTTTTGGTTGCTTGTGAGTGCAATCTCACCATGACCTTCATTCGAATCATATTTGAGGTCAATTGTGAAGTTAGCATGGAATTATACAAGGCTAAAAAAGGATCAACATAATGACACATACAAAATAAAATGATAAATCGTAGTAACGTAGTTACAAGTTATAGCAGGCCATAATCAGCACCTGATTAAATCTTAATTTAAGAACCATGAAAAGGCAAGCTGATGCACAATAAGAAAATAGATACCGGTATCTGTGACTATCTCTTTTTCTCTCTCGATCTTTTTCTCTAGCTGGACTTCGTGCTCGGTAATAATCCTGTTGTGCAAAATCTATTGAGTACCCAAAGAAAACACAAGTGAAAGAGAATTCAGATTGATCATATTGATATACTACTGAACCTTGTCATTGCCTCCAGAATCTAATCCGTCTGCAATTTGATCATCTTCATCTTTCTCTTCCTCCTCCTCAAAGTCATCTTCAAGAGCACTTCTTCGAGCTTCTAATGAACCGAGTGATTCAAGTGTCCATCTGACAGCACAAAAATAAGCAAATACGAGTAGTTAAAACAAAACTCAACAGACAGCCAAGAGTAAAAGAGGCAAAAGATACATGATGAATATAGTTAGAGATAATACAACCAAGTATCCATAACCTTTTGGCGAGTTAGTGAAAAGATGATTGTCTATCACCAACTTAAAGACACCAAAACTGACTTTGATTTGTTATCTGACATGGAAGAAGAAAAAAAAATATTGACGTTGATAAAAACATACCCACGGAGAACTGGTTTCACTAACCTAAAACCCATTCAGGGCGTACTAGAAAATTCTATAGCCAAATATTAAGATGAAAATACCATCAATGATAGACTTTAGAGCAAAAAACAAGCATTATTAACACGTGTCTTATTCAGCAATCACTTCATAAGATGAAAGGTCAACATTAATGTAGAGTTTCACAATAAGAATGGCAAACTCACCATTCATTTCAACAAAAAACAGTTTAAACCTATAAAGATGGGAAAAGAAAATTTAAATCATGAATTCATATTTTAAGGAGAGCCCAGTGGGATGAAAAATAAAAACTTCTTAGCAGAAGCTAAGAGCAAGATCTAGCAAAAAATATATAATGTCATAAAGATATTTGATCTAGTGAATTATGAAATTGTAAATTGGTGATAGAGGAAAAGGAAAATCACCAAGTTGAACAATTTACACCACTAACAGTTGACAAGTACCTTTTTTTAATCCGTGGCAAAGCAATATCACAAGAATAATCCTTCGTCAAAAGCTCATCGATAAACTCATCAACATGTGTCAATATGAACTCTGGAAAAGGAAACAAAAATAAGAGTTAGCATGACCGCAAACTATAAAGTTGAATTGATCAGAGGAATTCGGAACAAAGGATTCCAAGTCAAAGATACTCCATATTTTAAGTTATAAAGAAATTTGTTTTATTTTCACAACCAATTTCTCCATGATTGCAGAGGCTGTGAAATATGCCCACAATTGGAGACATTTAAAATCCTTACTCTCATTTCAATTACTCCAACCAAATGCAAACATAGCCATTATATCAAATTCTTAAGAGGGTTGCACATCTTACTTCCATCATTTGTCTTGAACCTTAGCTTTCGGTAGTCATTGTACAGAGGTTCCAGATAACGATATACATCTATATCTGTCCCTGTCAGTCGCAAATAAAAAGCTCCAAGAATACGGACATACCTAAAATTAAAAGAACGAATATATTAGTCGCAGAACGGCATTTGCATGACGCAGAAAATGACGCATAAACCACAATTCAACATTTATTAGGAGAAACGAACACACTCTCACCAAAAACAATTTACATTATATGGAACCGAAATTATGAACACACTCTTCCAGCAAGTACAGTCTGTTAATGTAACAAAATCTATCACCAGCATTCAAGTAATACCTCACGACAATCAGAGTAAGATAGAAATTATAAACTCAAAACGAAGCTTAGATAAATTTCAAACCAGGTACGAATTCAACGTACTTCTATGCATTAGACTCCAAATCTGTGTTAGAAAAACTTCTTTTCGAACTGCAAAATAACTGAACACCTACGCGAAGTAGAAAGGATGGAAACTGGAATTAATTACTTGTACTCGGGATTTTTTATGAACTCGACAACAATTTCCTTGTCGGGTTGAATCTGGAGCATCTTCATTACAAGGCACATGAAAGGAGTGGGCTTGCGGTTGCCGCCATAGGTGCCACCAAGGTGGTCGATCTCCATGGCCTTGTCGACCAGCGTCTCCGCCGTCAGCCCGAAACATTGCTCCTTCCAGTACGTATGCTGATATATCTTGGTCCTCAAAATCTTCTCCACCAAGTTCTGCGGGTTCGTGCCCCTAATGCTCTTCGCCAGTGGATCTGTGCGATTCGCCATGGGGGCAGACTTCAGATGGGGGCACACAAACCCTAAATCTCAATGACTATCTCGCTTTCTCTCCTTTTTTTTTTTTTTTTTTTTCCTTTTGGTCCAACCTTTTCCCAGCAAATTGCAGAACTCCTCCAGTAATTACAAAGAATTTGCAATTTCAGACCTGGAATTGGATGAAAAAATATTGTAAGTGACAATTTTTTTTTTTTTTTTCCAAAAAGATAGAGATTTTATATTAATAAAACTGCAAAGTGCAAAAAGAAAGCAGTCAAAAGTTGAATAATACAACCAGAGACTCGAGACAGATTCAGAAATCGCCTAGAACCGGTTAGCAACGCAAGAATGATAAACTCGCAACTACACAAAAAACAACTAACTCCAAACAAAAACTAAAACAGCTAAAAAGCCCCAACGGGATAATGCCCAAATGTGGGATCCCAACAGGATAATAAGGTCACACTCAGGCTCTCTAAGTGACATTTGAAATTTTATTTTATTATTATTTTTTTTTTTATCGGAACGATGGATGGAGTCAATAAACATAATGAAAGATACAATGTATGAGTACAAACAGTTAAAGACCAATAAGCCCAGAAAGAGAGAACCACACGTAGGTGGCCTAAAAATAGAAACTAAAACAACAACCTAGCATAGATAGTCTAAAGCAGTTAACAAACAACACAACCGAGACTTCAGACCTTTTAAGAACAAAAACACAGAAGAAACAAATAAACAAGACAAAGATGAAAACTTCCATTGATCCAAGATCCTAGACTATTTTCATCTATTGCCATCTTCAGTCCATAGAAGCTACAACAGTTGGCCTATTGGCTTCCTCAAATTCAATACATTCCTTAAAAGCAGCATCAACAATAAGAGGAGCCGGCCTGGAGACCCCTTAAAAAATTCACAAATTTTGAGATTTTCAAAGCCACCATAATATGAAGTGGAGATTCGAATTTGGGTATATTTTGAAATTTTATGAGATTTGATATTTTCTTAAATTTTCAGATATACGAGTAGTCATGTGAAATCCTAAGGAGATGAGCGTGTATTCGTATGAGATTTCAAGTAATATTTTAAAACTTTTCTAGATTTGGAAGTTTTTTATTTTGAAATTTCAGGAAATTTAAAAAAGTTTAACAAATCATATACTATGTTTGGTAAAACTACCTTATAGTTGATAAGCTAGCTTATAGCTTCTCAGTAATTTTCAAGCTTATATAGCTGAAAAGCTAGCTTATATGATAAAGGTGTTCGGTAAAATTAACTGATAAGCTATCTGAAATAAAAATTTCAACGAGCTTATTTGAAAAATCACCCAAAGAAGCTTATCATTTCAAAAAAGTTCGTCATACCAAACGGAGCTTGTTTGAATACATGAAGCTTATAAGCTAACCAAATAAACTATAAGTTGCATATTGGTCTACCACATATAGTCAGTCTCAAATAAGTTAAATACCTCAAGAATTTATAAGACCTTTTAAAATTTTAAATGAATACCTTGAGATTTTTAAAGCGTGATTGGATATGAATCCAATCGAGTTTGGGTGATTTTGTTTGATTAAAGTGAGTTATTTTAAATAAAGCAAATCGAGTGGATGATTTAGAATGTGAAATTAGAGAATATTTAAATGTAATGATTAAAATTGTTATGATATAAATAGTATGTGAGAGATTATTGGAAGCAATAGATAGTCAACATTATGTGAGTACATGAATAGTGGAATTAATGTTAACGTAATGTATGAGATGATTGATTGAAATCATTTACTTATATTTATAAGAAGTATGAGAGTTGAGTTGAGTTAGATTTTGAGTTAGATGATTGTATATGAAATGTGTTTCCAAAGGGTTGGCAGTGTGAATAGAAGATTACATAAGATCTTAGCTAAAATTAATGTGCTAATAAAGCCCATTCCTAGTCTATTGTGGTAGAATAGGGCATAGTGATAGGCAATGTGATTACAAAAAGGTAGATATTCAAACAGATGTGTTAAACAAAGAACAATTTGGAGAATGGTTAAGGGGCTCTTTTCGGGTTAATAGTGACTGTAGAGAGAAAAGATCTTCTAGCCCCACTAGTGTGAGATTGAATATTGAATCAAGTGAAGCAGAAAATTAAGAGAGGTTATGAGGGTCCTAATGAGGATGAGGGAAAAAAATGTTAAAGGACAGTGGAGATGTCGGGTTAGAGGTAGATAAGGTAGGTCTTTTGTCAATCAACGGGAGGGAGGTAAGGAGTGTGGCAAATGGGAAGAGGTAGATAGTAAGGGGGCGTCTGAGAGTCAAAATGATAAGGATGTTATCATTGAGCCGATGAATTTAGACTTATATAATGGGAAAACTTTAGATTTGAGTAATCTTGTTAATGTGTCAGTAAACCAGAGTAAATCAAATACCCGTGGTCTGAAAAAACATAAAAACCTTTCCTAAAGTAACTAGGTGTAAGACGACATTTCTAAAGCTAAGACTGATGGAATCAAATCTGAAAATCAATAAGAACAACCCAGTAAGTTAGTGCTAAAACGAAGGATAGAGGAAAAATAGAGAATAGAGTTGAATCAGAGTTAGTCTGAGCCGAAAAAAAAAATGATAGTTGCAACTGATGAAAAAATGATGGAGGAAATCGGCCATAACTGGTTCCAATGTTATAAAATGAGAGTTTTTATTTGGTAATGTAGAGGTTTGGGGGACCCTCTACAATTTCTCAGTTGAAGGAAAATTCTAGAACCTACCTCCCAAATTTATTGTTCATTTTTGGGAAAAAAAAAATGTTCATACTGTTTGTAAAAATTTACCAATAGCTAATACGTGGGAGTAAGTCAATCTACTGAGTAGTAAAAGGGGTCTTTTGTTGTGATGGTTAACTACTATTAAATATCTGGTAATTTTAAATAACTTGATGTCTTGAAGTTTGCTTTTTGTAGGAAGAGGTGGGGGATAGAATGTGGGCAATTTTTATTTTTTTATTTTTTTTTATGCTAGTGTAGACCTTAGTGGCTTCTTAATTTTCCTAAATCATCTATCTTGAATGTTCTTCTGGTTTCTTCTGATCACTGCCTTTTATTGTTGGAGGTTGATTGTTTGGAGAAAAAGGGTATAATTATTTTTTATTTTTTTGCTTTGATAGCAGGTGGTTAAAAGCAAAAGGTTATGATGACTGTATTAGAAAAGCCTGGGAGTTAGAAGTGAGCGAAAAAGGCTGTATTGTTTTAAAAAAAAAAATTAGGAATGTTGAGATGGGGTTGTTGGGGGTGGTTAGCCAATTATTCTTCAAATTCAGTAAAGTTGATTAAGAGTTGCAATGATAAGTCAGAGTCTTTTGGCCAACATGATGGTTGAGAGACTGGGATGAGTGATTTCAGTGTAAAAAGCAAATGTATTAGGCCTATAGAGAGGAGGAGATTTTTGGGAGACAAAAAGCTAGGATTAGATGGCTAAAAGAATGGGATAATAATACTAAGTTTTTCCAAGCCTATGCTAAGCAGAGGAGAAGTGGGAACAGTATAGAGAATTTGACCAAAAGAAATGGGGAGAATTAGGGACAAAGATGAATCCTTGCAGAAGATTTTGGGTTTCTTTAAGCAGTTGTTTCAGGCTGAAACCATGTTTTGAATAGGAGGTTCTAAATGGAATTCCTAAATCAATTACTCCGGATTTAAACTTAAATCTCACTAGACCTGTGGATAAAAAAAGAAATAAAATCAGCTCTGTAGGACATTGATCCAAGTAAAGCATTAGCCATAGATGGCTTCTCTCTCTCTCTCTCTCTCTCTCTCTCTCTCTCTCTCTCTCTCTCTCTCTCTCTCTCTCTCTCTCTCTTTCCAATCCTCTTGGCATATTATTAAACATGACCTCTGTGATGCATTAGCTAATTTTTTCAATGTTGTTTGTAAACAAGTTAATAATCACACAGTTATTACTCTTATTTCAAAAGGTAAAAAACCGTAAAAAAGTTCCAGATTTTGGGCCCATAAGTTTGTGTACTGTTACCTATAGGTTAATAGCAAAGATTCTAGCTAATAGGTTAAAAGGAGTCCTATGTGTGCATTTCTCAATCTCAAACAGCTTTCGTTCGAGATAGGCAGATTTTGGATAATGTAGTAATTGCAAATGAGTGTAATAGTTAACAAGTTTTTGCCAGTGTTGGGTTTGGGCCTTTGGCCCAACCACTATATTACTTTTGCTAAAAAAATAGTAGCAATGTGTTAGCCCAAAGAGTTGGGTTATGGATCGAGATTGGATCCAATCCGTGTGATCTTCACTGGATATATTGTATCTTGACATGATGACTTCATCCGATCGTTCAGAAGTTATCAAATGGAGTGGTGATTTGACACTTGAAAATAGTCTGGCCATTTTGAGCCCATTGCAACCATTTTCCGATGATGTTATGCTCAATGCACTTCTTGTTGATGTGCAATTTTGTAATCAAGTCTATGAAGCGGTATTGCTATTTCGGGGATGTCCATAGTGTTTCAAGGTTAATGAAGTCAAAATTAAAGACAAGAAAAGAAGTAGAAACTACAAGACGATCGTGAATTTGGTGTCGCGTTGATACGCTTGCACCGAAAATTTATTGAGGGGTTTTGGCCACTCCCATACCTTTTTTACAAGATCCTATATGCCATTTGAACTATAATACTAGTGATATTTTCATGTGTATTTCATGATGGATTGATCTTGAATACCCTTTGTGTCTAGTGGGACCTAATATTTATAGAATGGAGAGACCTTTAAATATGTTATTTCAGCACACGTGACATGTTCTCAGGGGTCACTTGCATGCAGTGTGTCGCATATCACAACAACTTGCTCAAGTGGCTTGTCTCTTTAGGCGGTGTGAACTTGTTCTGGGCGATAACACTTTTCGTACCAATTTTATCTGAGATCGAGATAAAGGAACTGTTGGGGTATACAGTAAAGCAAACTTTTATGTGAGCTTTTGGATTGTATTTATT